AAGAATAGAATCTGAAACTTAAAATCGCAACGCGAAAATGACTATCGCAATGCGAAAATGACTATCGCAATGCAAAAATGACTATCGCAATGCGAATTTGACTATCGCAATGCGATTTTCATTTCGCATTGCGATTCTTTCGTTGCGATAGTCAAATTCACATTGCGATAGTTATTTTCGCATTGCGATAGTCATTTTCGCATTGCGATTCTCTCGTTGCGATAGTCATTTTCGCATTGCGATAGTAAACTATTCTTCTTCTGCAAATTGAAACTTGAATGGATTGCATTACTTCAACCAAAAGACAACCAAAAACAAATACTAACTTCACAGGGTTAAAGAATAAACAGTTAAACAGTATTGGCAGCAACCGAATGAATTTACTAAGCAATCTAAGTGAAATTACGAGTAAATTTATCATCAAGTTAAATATGAAAAATATTAAACTTACCTCGTTGCGTAGAGTATGAACCTCGTTCTGCAACGATGCTACAATCTCACGTAGAGCTGCTACCTCACCACGTAAAGTAGACACATCAACACGCCATGCACCATTATCATCGCGTAAAGTACCGACCTCCTCACGCAAGGCATTGACCTCATTACGTAACTCCCCTAACTCATCCCGTGGAGGTGGAGGTGGAGGTGGAGAACATGGAGATAAACGTCGTGGCATCTTTGCCAGTCGCCTATCATGAGGTGATGGTGGAGAAGAGGCTCGATGATATGACAGAATAGGTGATGACTCTCATTGTGGAGGTGTATATTCGGGTCGATCAGGTGATGGCTCTGGGTGAGGTGATGGCTCTCGAAGTGGTGGCTACTCATCATCCGTGCCATAAAAAAAAGCTTACTAGCTTGCCACCAATCAGTGGCAAGCTTAGCTTCCGTGGGTGTCAGCCTCTGTAACGAAGTGTTGGCCTCCTAACAATATAAAAGCTTAAACAAAGTTAAACGTGTACTAGTAATAACTTGTTTATAAATATATGGTAGTATTTGTGTTAACTTACATTATTTATTGTAGTATACGGTAGTAAATCTTCCCATTGCTACAAGGACCGTTTCCTCTTCCAGGAAATAGCCCTAGGAATATCATTAGAAGTTTTTAATGCATATGTCCGCATGGCGGGAAAGGCCTCAAATATCCAAATCTACAAACAATATAATAACAAACATTAGTAATTGTTAAAGAATTAATTATAATTTTGGAAACATTATATAAAAAGTATTACCTTAAAGGCTCAAATAAAGCCTGACAAAGTGTATTTGGAACCATCGCCACGCAAACTTTTCCGATCATTAAAGGCAGACGATAACTTATTCCATGTAGCTCTCTATAGATACGAACCCCACGAAAACAGGTTCCATGCATTTAGGTCCTCTACCAATTTAATTAGATCATTAGGAATAGGTTGTCGGGCCTCTCTGCCTAAAAATCCGACTTGCAAAAGTATTAGAAGGCATACTCGGACAACATCGACGTCATCTATCCGAGTAAAACCATCTTTCTTATTCAATAATCTCGTCAAGTCTTCCAAGTGTAAATTCGACTTCTCCGTTGACTGCTCAGGAAAAACCCGGGAAAACCATGATAGGCGGGTAATATGTCTAGTGTACCGATCTATATCATCGTGTCCGAAGCGTATACCGGTGATTAAGCATAACTCCTCCCGCCCAAAACACGTATAAGCCGGTGGAAAATCAAACCATATCTCTTCATCACGACGTTGTATAGTCTCTGGTAGATCGCTAGTCATGGTTTGAAGAAACATATGGGTTAACATAGCATCTCCACCCGGATGTTATACTTTCAGCCATGGCCCAAAGCAAGTATCCTCAAATATTTTTCTTTGTGCAGGTGAAAGCTTCGACGCAATTGTTTTGGCCAGGCTTACTTTATTTCTTAAGGTCAATTGAGCCGAATAAAAGTTCTGCAAAAACAATAAACATACCAATTTAGATATACCAAAAACTACACTGTGAAGATATGAACAATAAACATAAAGAGTAGTAGTTTATTCTTCAAACTTAAATTTGCAACACTGTGAATTTAGTATTTGTTTTTTGGTTGAAGTAATGCAATTCATTCAAGTTTCAATTTGTAGAAGAAGAATAGTTTCTGAAACTTTAAATCGCAACACGAAAATGACTATCGCAACGCGAATTTGACTATCGCAACGCGAAATGAAAATCGCATTGCGATTCTCTCGTTGCGATAGTCAAATTTGCATTGCGATAGTCATTTTCGCGTTGCGATTCACTCGTTGCGATAGTCATTCTCGGTTTGAAATACTAAAATTGAAAGAAACTTGAATGGATTGCATTACTTCAACCAAAAGACAAAACAAAGACAAATACTAACTTCACAGGGTTAAAGACTAAACAGTTTAGCAGTATTGGCAGCAATCGAATGAATTTAATAAGCAATCTAAGTGAAATGATTAATCTATTATTGAAAACACCAGTAAACTTATCATCAATTTCAATATGAAAAACCTAATAATAATATAAAATTTTCAAAATAAAAATAATTAAAAAAACTAACCCTCGGTGGTTGATTTGGTTGATTTTCCATTTCTGACCGTGAATGATTTCGCCGGAGATGGAGACTGTTATCGTCGTGGGGACTGATTTCGTCGGAGATGGGGACGGATGTCGCCTTAGAGAATGAGAGATGAAGATGAGACTGAGTTGTGATTTAGAGTTTTAGGTTATGAGTTGCGATTACGAGATATACTGTGGACGGTTCAGTGTTCCGATATATTAATATATTCGTGTCTGGAATTTGAAAAAAAATACGCGTTAATACGAATGGCGCTATGTAAATCGCATTGTGATAGTCATATTCACATTGCGATTTACGTATTCGCATTGCGATTTACGTATTCGCATTACGTATTCGCATTGCGATTTTCCAAATTCGCGTTGCGGTTTACGTATTCGCATTGCGAATTAGGAAAATCGCAACGCGAATTTGGGAAATCGCAATGCAATAGTCAAAATCGCGTTGCGAATCTGGAAACTGATTTGCAATACCGGAGATCGCGTTGCGAATTATCGATCTCATTGCGATTTAGTTGGTCATTTTGGCAAATCCAAAAAAAGTTGGTTAAAATCGTATATTATAAGGCATTTTTGGTCACTGAGATTATTTTCTCTATAAATTATCATTTAACTTGCTCAAGTATTAACATGTTAAAGATATATTAATCTGTCGAATAGTTAAGAATATTCATATTGTTTCATTATGAGTTTGAACCTTGACATTTATCTTAAAAATATAAATACTTCTCTATTTATCATGATTTTTTTAAAGTAACTAAAAAAATTCAAAATCATTCCTAGAAGTTCTTAAATAATAAAAATATTATTTTGAATTATAAAATATAAAAAATTAAACATTTTCTAAAAATATATTTTTATTAACTTTATTTATTGGAGATAAAATAAGTAGACGTTGTATTGAAACTTGACATGTGAGTAAACAATTTAACCTTGTAATATATATATAAGATAAAAATAAGTAAATTTTTTATTTCTATAGTGAATCTCACGTACAAATAAGATAAATATTCATTTAAATAAAATAGAATAAGTATATAAATATCACATCTTTGACATTTAGTTATTTCAAGCCGTCTTGGTGTTCCTGGAAGCTTTTACGCGCTTTGAGGTTGAGCTCGAGGCTTTGAGGTAGCGGAGGTGTTCTCCCCCTGCGGAACAGAACCACAAGAACCCTCACTGTCCGGCAAAGATCAAATACCTACACAATATAATACACACATTCCATAAGAAAACGCTTTAATCATACACCGCAGTTCGATATCTAACTAACTAACCGATGAGGCTTCGATCTCTGCAACACCTTCACATCCTCCCTGCATCAAGTCACAATATTTTGCAGCTTCATTCTCATCTTCGAATACCTATAAGATGAAAAACTATGGTAAACAAACAGAAAGAAATTCAAGGATTGAAGTCCCAGCTTTGGTCGGAAACTCCAACAAGTTGCCGGGCCCGGGAAATGAAGTCATACCATATGGCATACAGCAACAGTACTAAGTTTTAAGCATGGAGAAACAGGAGGCAGAAAAGAATGGTCAAGCAGAGAGCATATTGAAAAGGAAGAAAAAAAAAAGGCCTTGCAAACTCTTCATTCATTGACAATCGACACTACACATTGAAAAATATCCGAAACACTGAATCATTGATACTTATAAGTACTCCTTCCCTAACATCCTCCACCAGCATTTCAAACTTAGTAGGCTGTTCGGTTTTGTTTCCACGTCCAGAACTCCGCTTTGCACCTTTAGAGAACAATAGAATAATTCAAGAAAAGATTGTACTGGGGTTTCGAAAATAAATTAGACCTGCAGTTTCTTCGAGTCTTCATTGTGCACAACTGGTTTTCCTTGTGAGTTAGAACGTATACAGGTTTCGAAGGGTCTCCGTCTCTCCATGGATTTACCTCCAATACTGAACAAAGATTAAAAGCAGAAAAGTACTGAAGCTTTGGGAAAGAAAATAAAAAGATTTGGTGTACCAATAAGCCATTAAGAAAACAACACAGGCTGTCAAATAATTTATAATCATTATCCCACACAAAAGCATATGCATTAATAAGCTAAAATATTGCACACCAAGTACATACAGAAACCCATACTCTACATATCTCAAGATGAAGGGTCGACGTTATGTTGCTTCAGTTTTGCATTTTTTGTGATGAACTAATGTATGACATAGGTAAATACGTGGGAAAACTAAGAGAAACTTGACTATACACCCAAGTCCAAGACTCCAAGTAATTTAGAATAGATGCTGCTAGCAGTAGCATGATTAGTTAATTCTATGGAAGAAGTATAAACTATGAAATATAGCAGATAGCATACTAATATTTGAAGGATAAACTCAGGCCATATGTATTTCACATATTTCCAAAGATGTCTAATTTGTCAACAAGTTTTTTTTTCTTTTCACACAAAAACCACCGAATAGAAATCCTTTGAGGTTTCAGTTTCAAATCTAAACTACAATTACATGGGGTGTAGAAATGGATCATTTCAAAGACAGTGAGACCACTAGAAACAATCAAAATCTTCAGAGCTTTTACCATCATAACTGCTTCTATCAAAAGTTTGCTGCAAATGATGGAATCGTGGTGAACGGAAACACAGCAACTTGAGGACAATGCTGCCGTTGCGTCGGCAAAGGGTTGGCCGGAGGTAGAACTATAGATGGAGAGACCGATGACAGGGAATCCGTGGTTTTTTAGGTTTGTTTCAGTTAAGCTTGGGCTTTTTTGCAAGAGGATCTTCAGGGAAATTCGCGGGATTCAAAGGAGTAAAGATTGCAGTGAAGAACTGTGTAAACTCGGTTACAAGAGGAGAATGAGAAGTTGGCTTCTGTTTTGTGAACCTCTTTCTCTGTATATGACGAATGAATCTGCCAGATTTTTTTCTCTACAGAGGTGTGCCAACCCAAGGTGTTGGGACAGACCGATCATAATCTAAGGCTTGGATCCAAGAATCTTGGCACTGCCATTCACTTCTTGTAATAATGTCATGTGTCGTAAAACATGAACCTTTTTTACATTGTATATGATGAACCATCAAAGGGGGTGAATCAAATTTGTAGATAGGATTATCTCTATATTAATTCTTATTATTTATTTTTCCTGAAAGTATTTCTTATAAACATTATCAAAATGCATTTGGCCCACTCATACCCAAAATTTCAAACTCTGAAAAATTTTGATCCACTGATATTCATAGCTCATTTTCAATGGTGACATGGTATCTAACTGTGTAATGTTTTCACCATAAGATTCCTAGATCTTGAATCAGATAATACGTGACCCACAGAGAGTTTCACTCAAGGAGATTTTACATAAATGTAAAACCAAATATCAATTGTAAGAGAAAATGTACAAAATCATATATATCAGTTCAGCACACATGAACATGGAAGTATCAAATGACTGATGCAGCCATCACCATTCTTATTACAAGTTTACATAAAAATTGCAGAAACAGCCAGCCAAGAATTCAAGAGATTCATTAGTGATGTGAAATTTTGTAGTAGAGGATTAAGATGATTGCAAGGACAAGAGCTATAATTACGACAATGATCCACTTGTTCTTGATAATCCTCCGAGACATGGAAGTTAAAACTTTCTTACTCTTGTCTATAGCATCATCCACATCATAAAGCTGTGAAAGAAGAAAAAATGAAACAAAATTCATTAAGTGATATGAATAAATATGGTATACATGTCCGAGAAGGTGGCTAACTATACGTCTGCAATGGAACAGATGCCGACTAGAGATAAGTAAATATTCGCTGATAAAGAGCAATGTCCAATAGAAGTAAAGCTCAATCATCGATATACATGCATTTTTATCAGAAACAACACCTTGTTATGGGCATGTCTATCGCTGTTGATGCAGAACTTCAAGAATGGAGACCCAAGCTCTTGTGTCTCCAGAATAGTTCTTCGACACTCCTTAATTCTATCACTTGATTGATTCAGTCTTTTCACTGACATCGACAATCTTTCTCCTTGCTCGGCAGAAACCTGTACCATCAGTCACCACTCAATATAGCTCAACTGTTAAACACAAGATTTCTCATTTCATACAGACGGACCCAGCTGCAAATAAACAACAAGTAGCAAATGATACTAATAAAGTAAGACGATTTAAAATGTAAAGGCATGAATCATCCTATTCAACAAATCCTATTTTGTTCCTCTCTTCATGTACCGGTTTGGACATGAGCCATCCTATTCATTTGTCGGACACATTTGGTCATGAGTATGAAAAACATAAAATGAAATTAACATATGCGTTGTGTCATACATTACATATACTCACATCCGAGTTTAAGTAACTTAGAATATGTCTGACAACTTACTAAACATCAGCAGCCACAGTGCCTTCCAGTTGCACCAAGGATCAGCTTACGCTCTAACCCTCCCTTCCCCAACTTAAAATTACCAAAGAATTGTGATGCAAGAGGATACTAGAAAAGCAATTTCAGATTAAGAAAACCAAGTACATATAAAATGGTGGACACTCCAAATGCATATAGCTACATAAACACCTTCATTCCTCAAATATCCTATAGAACCTGATCAATTCAAACGCACTTCTCCAAATTGATAAAAAGATACAGCACGTGAATATATATATATATATATATAAGAAAAGGAGATGATATATAGAAACCAGAAACTACCGAGTGAGAATCAGCCATCCCAGGTTCCAACAATTCATCATGATCAGCCTGAATAGAATTGGGTGAAGACATTCTCTTGAATTCCCTCCTTCACTTATTCAAATCAGACTTATATTCCCTTAATTTAGCAACAAGTGTTGCCTTCATCCCTGCCTCCAAGTCCATTTTCCAGAATCTACCAAACAAAAAACAAACCAAACGTGTTATGTCCCTCAAGAAATAGAGAAGAAAATAGACGAAGAAGAGAAGAAAAGAAGAGAGAGTAGACGAGAGAATATAGATTCAAGAGAAGAAAAAATTCATTCTTTTCACACATGAAAATTATAGTCGACAGTACATGGTTATTTAATCACGGTTTCGTCCTATTTTGGCTTGGGCTTATCCTAAGGCCCTTGTTTCCCTTCCTTTTCATCAAAATTCCTCACTACGTGCAATCCCTAGCTCAATCCCTAATTCATTTTCTGAATCCCCAATGCCCTTCGCTTAGTGCTTCTCCTCCTCTCTCCCAGCCGTGACAACATGGTACCTGAATCAAATTGAACTTCTCCTTAAAAGGTACTTTTTTTTTCTCTGAAATGATTGCGGAAGTACCTGAATCGAGAATCGAAGAAGCAGAATTGCATTTTCGGGAAAGACACAGTACTGTCGTTGGTAGCCTCACTCATCTTCAAAAAGTTTGAGGCTATGATAGGATCAACAAAGAAAATGTTAAAAACTTGATGGGGCTTTAATAAGATAATTTTTCCAAGAGCTATACAACTGTGCATCTGAACTACTTTCTTTGTCGCTGTTGCCCGTTGGTGTGAGTACAAAAGCTGCATTTTACTCCTTTCCCTCTCGGTGTCGTAAATTGAACTATTCTTATGTATTCATACTATATTCATTACTCATTCGATATAACATTTAATTATATATTTATGTTATGTTAAGATTAATATACTAAATTTAATTTTAAAATATAAAAATCTTGCGCCAAATACACTTTAAATCTGATTTATTGGTCAAATACACCTACACTATGTAGGTCTAAGTTTGAGTCTCCTGTTCTCATCCTTATTTTCTTGAATAATTAAATTGATTAAATTGTTTTAATTAAGATTAAATTAATATAAATCATAAAGATCAAATATGTTATTATACAAATTTACTTAACTATCACATTAATAATTATCATACAAATAATAGTTAGTAATGAAATCAAATTAAAAGTTCAATGATCTAATCAACAGAACTTTTTGTTCGATGATAAAACTAGAATCGATTATTAAGATAATTTATCTTTTTTTTTCATTTTAAACCAATAAGCCCATTAAAAATAACAAATTGCATAACGATAACTAAGCAGATCACTTAAGATAGTATTGGATCCAATAAATAACAACTATGTCCAATCTTCACCATAGTTGCAGAGCCAAATTTCGATCTGTGAACAAAGCATTCTCTGGGAATTCGGTGACAGCACAAATAGTGTGAGAAAATTAATGATTCATCGCCATTCCAAGTAAAATCTTCTAACCATATGCTTCTATACATCAATGAGCAAAGGCAATATTAACGGTAACATATCCCAGGGACCGAAGTCCTAATATTTTCCCAATGAATCCTTCTCGTTGCAAAAAGCCAGAAACACCATATGCAGACTGCGAACTAATTAAAGTTTCTAAGGAATACCAATTTTAAAACAACATTTTGGCAAGGTTCCATGGAGGCAGCAATGAGATGGAACACTAACCAAATATAAAACAACAGGTAATTATAACTCAACAACTTATCCACATTTCTAAGGAAGGCTCACTCTAATTTTCCCCTATCCCTTTTACAATTTTGCATCCAATACGTCCAAACAAGACTTGGATTTGCGGAATCTTACCAGCATCATAACCTAACACGTCCTAATGCATCAATGTGGATCTCCTCGACAAATAGAAACATATCATGCGTGTGACACTACGGCTTGCTATGACAAGCCCTTCTCATCCATCCAACTGTACACAATGTTAACTTCCTGCACCAGCTCCTTCAGTGGTGGTTGTTTCATTTGAAGGAACAGAAACTGTTTCACCGGACACAATACCAGTTTCACCATGCTTGATCTCTGGATCCTGATCAGGGAAAACCTCGGACTGCAAAGATGGCGCAATGTTATTCACATGCAACCATGTCAGTTCCCACAAACTATCTCCTCCTAGTGCACTCCTCTGCATGAGTACTCCCTTTGTCTTCATTACGAGCAAGATGTTCTTGAGAAGCTCAAGCACTAGCTCCTGATGCTTCTCACTTTTCTTACCTCGAACTTTTACTTTCATATACTTTTCCATTCGGCTAAGCACACCAAGCCACAGTTTGCAGAATGTAGTTAACTGAGAGAGCTCAGGGAGTAACTGTAAGAACACTTTGGAAAGGAGCTTTGTAGCAAGAATAAGCGTGCCTTCCATATTGCGGTAGTCTTTTTGGTGTCCCTGAGCAATTTCAAGCAAGTCATCAAGCATTGTGAAGATTACAAGATCGAAACACTGCAACCATAAACCATGAGAAACGTGGATGCCATCCACTCCAGTCAAGCATTTCTGCAATGATAGAAGAGCATGGTTTCTGACATCTTCTCTCTGGTCCAAACAAACTTTTCTGAGTCCCTGCACAAGCCTCAACCATAAATCACCGACATCCTGAAACATCTTGCCAGCATCCTCCTCTCCCATTGCTTCCTTTGCCTCACGGGTCCACCTTTCCAAACAATCAACAGAACCGGACATAAGATCCAGTGCACGTATAGATCGCTCTGCCTGTCCAACACGTGACTCGGCAAACTGCCTCGCAGCATCTATGCAGAGAATATAATTGGCTGGGAGCAAGTGAGCCCCATCAGAGATAATAAATAATAGTGCATCAAAACCTGCTTCAGATGCTTCTGGATGTCGGGCTGTGATGGAAAGTAAAGATGTTATCGTGCGCCACCCCATTTGAGATCTGATATGGGTAGCATTTGCCTTCACTAGGCGACTTACTTCCTGTGTGATCTGCTCACGGTACGCATCAGCCACTCGAGCATCAAGCTTCAAGACAAGTTGCAGGGACCTCAAGAGTTCATCAGCCAGGTTCTCTTTGTAAGGAAGAAGCCTTTGGCAAATTCTAAGAAGCCCAAAAACAGCCTTTTCAACCAGGGCACAAGGCATAACGGTTGATTGAACAATATTAGCTATGTACTCATAGACACCCTGCCATAGAAGTACAATCCTATCACGGTTGTTCAAGGTAATAGCAATAAGCAACTCCAGGCAGAAAACGGCAGTATCTTCATCCTCAGGTGAGCTGTTTCCTTTCTGGGGCCGCCCTGCAGCCCAAATTAGGGCTCGTGCTAACTGCAACAAAGATTCAGCTTGCAAAATTTTGCTCTCTGTAAATATGCTATCAATGTGGCACTTTTGAATTGTCTGAAGGGTGCGTTGATGAGCAGCAAGTTGTTGCTCAGTGGGCTGTGATCTTGGCTCCTCTGTATCAAGAGATAAAAGCTGACTGAACCGGCCCATCAATCCAGAGGATCTCCTGGGGGTTCCTATGGACTGTAAGTGAGCTGAAGACAAAGAATTTGTAATTGGCTTTCCATGACCGGGGTCTGCAGAGAGCTCTGACTCATCAGCGGCATCACTGGCTACACGAGCTGGAAGAAGCCCCAGCTTGTGCAGTCGTAAGATGCAATCCAGTATATTCCTCCAACCTGTGCGAATATAGTCACCATATCTATTTGCAATAGTAAAAACAGTTCCAGTTGCCATCCTTGCTTTGGCGTCGTCACCAAAAGCTAACACTGGTTCCTCAATAGATGATGGATTCAAAAGTGTGGTAAATTTGCAGAGAGACACAACTAGGTCATCCAGTACATCTTCAAGATGATGGCATGCTGAAATCTTGGCAACAGCTAAGAATCCATCAATACAGGTCTGGTAAACATCTTCATGTTCAGCATGATCAAATACAACAGAGATAGCAGCAATTGTTGGACCTGACATTATTGCGAACATATCATGGTCAAGGTATGCTCTAGAATCAGCTACAATGAATGGTGCAGTTTTCTTAGACTTGTGCATCAGATCTATCCACCGACTCGGGGTCATTTCAGGATAACCGAAGCCTTGCTCTGGAGTTGTGCGGATCTCATTCTTGCATATTGAGTGGTATAATTCCGACAGAAATTCTCGAGGTAGATCGTTACCTCCGTTTATATGCCGATTATTCCGGATGAAATCCTCCTCTGTCATCTTTTTCTTTACTTGGACATTGTGCTGGTCAGTGTTAAGCATTATAAGTGAATATGATAATAACAAAGCAGCATCCTTATTAGCTAGAATCTGTGGGGATTGCTCATAATATCTCTCAGAGAATGCCTCCAGCACCCTTTCTATCTTTTGTGATTCTCCAGGCAATCGAAAAGTTTCCAGGAACAGTCTTAGTGCAGTATCTAGATTCATATCTTGGAAATCAAATGTCCCAGCAAATTCATGAAGAACCTGAACACAGAATTCATCATGATTTCCCAGGAAATCCCCAACAAGATTCTTATCTAATCCAGCAGTGTACCTGAAAAAGCAAGCCACACTCTGGGGGTCAAGTTTGTCAGGCAAAAGATGTGTTCCTTGGAGGAACTCTAACCCTTTTTTTGGGTCACGGTTGAAGTGATCAGCTCCAATCATCAACCTTCTTTTGATGTATTTTCTCCGCCTGACAAATGGAACCCAATGAACTGGATCATCGTAGTTATCACACTTCACCATCCAGAATGGCAAATATTCCTCGAGAATAACTGGGGCCTGCTCTGAACTAATCGAACCATTCCCAATCCTCTCAGCCATTCCCTGTATAACAGCAATTAAACCATCCAATGCAAGAATGTGCATTGCAGACAGAGGGCAGTTCACAGGGAATGCACTCTTTGACAACAAATTAGCAAGGTCTTCGAACACATTGCGGCAAGTTATATCACAATCTAAATTAGCATACATTTCCACCATAAATGTTTTCTGCCTACAGAAATCAACGAGGGCTTCCATAGCCACCTCCTGCTGCTGGTACGAAGCTCCATATTTGCCTTGTGCAAGCCTCAGAATCACACAGGAAAAAAAAGCTTCAAGCTGTAGTTTGAGTTCTGTACGGAGATGATGGTAAAGATTTAGAACAATACTACATACCATTGAAAGAATGAGTGGACTCATTGACAACCCAAATTGCATCAGATTACGAAATAATTCATCCTGAATCAAGCTCAATAGCCTTGGGTGACGACGGAAGGATGGTCCACCCAACTCTATAGCAGAGTTGATTAATCCCAAGGCAAAAAGCGGCACATCCTCATCAAATGCTAGGGTATTTGAGTGGGGGTCCATTCCCACGTGCTCAACAACATTAAGTAAAGAGCACAAAAAATGAAATATCTCCACCATGCAAGGGACGCCATATGGTTCTGTCATGAGGTGCAAATCATATGGAATTGTCTCCTTTCCGTCACCAGCTACTACCATACTTTCTTCCCTCACAGTTCCTACCAGACCTGCAGAATTGGATCCAAAACTTCCAGAAGATGCTTGACCATCATACTCAGAGCCGTTTCCATTTTCAACTTGTTTAGCCCCAAATGCATAATCACTATTTATCCCACCAAGCTGCAAAGCAGAAAACTCTAGATAAAATAAAAGTAGCGATGAAAACCATGACCAAAATAACAAAACATAACTGAAGAAATATCAATTGACTTCTAGAATGTTTTCTTTTCTCCTACATCAAGCAGGCAAAGGAAACAAGATAAGAAGAGGTTGAAACTTGAAACCAAAATTGAACAAAAACAAAAAAGCAGAGGAACACTAGAGCAAGCACCAACCTCAAGTTTAGCAGTGCTACTTCTGTTAATCAAGGCATGCTTTGTGTTCTCAACATTTGAAAGGTGTGAAAATATACACCTAACAAGTTCATGCATTGTGTGGCGAGCTATACGCTGCAACAATTCACCTTTCTTCTCTGCTTGGTGAACTATTCGAAAGCAAGTGTTCACGATTGTGCAAACATGCTGATTGCTCAACATAATAGAGGCTTTACTTTTCATGCAAGCAAGAAGAACCTGAAGTATCTTCATCAGTACCACTTCTTCCGAGGCAGGGTCAGTCACCTCAAATCGGCAGCTAGTCACAAAATCAACTACCAAACGCATAGCTTCTTCAACATTTACAGTATTTTGATCAATTACATCAAGGGTTAAAATTTTGTGAACCGAAGATAGAGCAACACCAGTGATTGATGCACCAGTTTCATCAGATTGAATCACATCTAAAAAAGGCTGAAGATACGCAACAGGGTTGATGGTATGCCACTGATTCTGCCACAAGAAAATTTGCTTTCGTAATGCCTTCAATGACTGAATTAAAGAGTGTTCTAGCTGATCGTCACTTGACATGTATCGACCACCCCATCTTACATTTCTCCTCATGACAGCTAATACAGCACCTACTTCCGAATTAATCATACATGCTAAAGTAGCTTTGTTAGAACATGTAATATCATAGTCCTCAGGTTCTTCCTCAATTGCCTTGATCCCAGGCTGCAGCTTGAGACGCCCCATTTCTGTGTAATATCCTTCTGGAACCTAAGGCCTTTATATATTTACCAACTGTTAGAAAGAAAGGCGCAGGGATCCCACCAGAGCATAACCTTCAAAAGTTACAAAGACAAACATTATAAACAAGTTCACTAGCAATTTCATTAACTAAGGAATCAACTACTGCTCAGCAGCTAAAAGAATATAAAAACATCTTAAAGCAGCCGTAGTAGCTACAACAAATACACAGAAGACTAAATAAGCTAGCATAATAGCAACATAAAGTAAAACATGAAAAAAATAGGTAAACGTAAGCCTGTAAATTGATATTGCAAAGCAAAGAGAAAGACTAAAGAGACATCTCAATGCATGAAGCAAAAGAAACAAGAGGGGAAAATACTTGATCATATACTCCCACCCCACAGACTTAGGTAAGACCAGCTTCTCCACAACAGATGCACAGAACCTCAAAGTTCTGGCTCCACATATATAACATGCATACTAGTATTGAATATCTGAGGCAAAAATTATTTTTTGTTTGGGAATTAAACCCCAAGTATGAATAGTGATCTAATGAAACATGCTTAAGTTTCTAAGACCTACAATAAATAAATTATAATGACGGTGCAACAGCAGCATGACATCAGAATAATACTTAAACACCAAGTTCCCAGGAGGGGCAATTTTAAACCAGAACCTACCATCGACCCTTACAGTTTCCTTCCTTCAATCAACTCTTCCACCAGTACATAATACTATCACTTCTTCCCACCATGAAAACCACAAACAACACCAACATCTCATTCTGTTTTAAATCCTAAATCTATTGCAAATTTCTGGTACCCTGAAAAAAGCAATGATAAGTTCCCACATAAAAAACCCTAGCAATGACGGAAACCATTATCATCAAAAGAATAGAGCACTAAACAAACAATAAGAAGTCTAAAATAAGATGATGCAGAATCACTACCAACCAAACAGAACCAAAATTTCTTTTAAGTGAAAGAAATATATATATTTAAATTAATCTGTCTAAATTCCCTTCCACTTAAAAAAACAGGTAACATCAGCAGTATCTATCACAGGTTAAGAGATCTAACAAAACGAGAAAAAAAAAAGCCTTCATTTTACCATATTCCAATCAACAAAATGCTCAGATAAAACCACCAAATCACATCTTAATCAACCGAAAAAACTAACATAGATCTAATACACAAGTTCATAACTCATAAAATATGATAAAAAAACAAAGGAAAAAATAAAGAAACTTAAATTTCTAAATGCACTGAGTTTGACTCATAGTTCGGGTTAACCTTCAAGATTCAAAAACGTTTTTCCTTTTCTTAGTTTTCGGCCTTCATTTCCTTTCATCTACTTTATATTGCTGCTCAACTCATATATAATAATTATAACAAAAAATAAGGAAAACAAAAAAATTAAATCGTGGAAGACGAAATTGAGATGCGATCCAGTGAAAGGAACAAATTACCTTAGTGAGATCCAACAACGAATTGATTTCCCTCTGTGTGAGATTATTGAAAAAAGAGGAAATGGGAAACGAGAAAAGCAAAGCGGTGTCTTGAGATGGACTGAAAATGAAAGTAAGATTTCATAATTTACAAAAACAACCCTTTAAATTATTATTATTTCGTAATTTAGATTATGGGGATCTGTAGAAAAAGGGCTAAGGCTAAATGGGTTTGGTCCAATTTTTTTTCCTCCAAAAAGAGCTGATATTTCATATATTTCTATTTATTTAAAGTATTTTGTGTTTTCCGTAACTAAAATATGATAAATACACTGAGCACTGAATAAAATTTGTTTATTATGTTTTATTTTAGCATATGCACGTTAATAATATTTGAGTAATTTTTCATATTTTAGCACTGAATAAATTTATATATAAATTACAATACATATAATTAAATTACGGATAAACTACATAAATTGTCACTAATATTTGAGTAATTTTTCATATTTTCCACTAAAGTTTCAAAACTAACAAATTAGTCACTAACATTATCGATTTGTAACAACTTAGCCACTAAAGTTATCAATTTATAACATATGGTAAAGTATAGTAATGATCACTAAACTTTTCTAAAGCTTTCATTTAGGTCCCCTAACTTTTAAAAAGGGACTAAATATTGGGGGAATGTATTACAAGCTTTAAACGTTAGGGGACCTAAATGAAAGCTTTAGAAAAGTTCAGTGACCATTACTATACTTTACCCTAATAATTAATATTTAAGTTAAATTCTAATATAATATTAATGATAAAAGAATATAATTTTTTTTACAGAATAAGGTTTCTTTGGCAATAATAATTATTATATTTTCTCTAATTTATGGGAGTAGATGAAAACGATACTTGTTAAATAATGGTTGTCCCTTGTTCACATATGTAATGAGGTAGGAGAGGTAAGATAGTAGGTTGCCCCCAACACTAGATTGAGAGCAGCTTCCGTATGAGACCTCCAAATTATGAAATGCCCTCCATGGGACTCGATCCCACGACCTCAATGTTAAGAACCTTGTGCTCTACCAACTGAGTTGGATGGTCATTTCCGAAAACGATACTTGTTAATTTTAGTTAATTTATTTTATATTAATCACGTCAAATTTTTATTAAGACAAAGCTAAAAAAAAAAATTGTCTTATCTAGTTGTCTTAATAAAGATTTTATTTAATATATTAAATAATTATAGATAAAGTACATAAATAATCATTAAATTATATTTAAATATTTTTTAGCTATTAAATTTTTAAAATTTATAAAAAGATCATTGGATTTTTTTATTTGATTACAAAATAGTAATTGCGTCGTTATCTATCGTTTTCCAGGGATGGACTAAGAGGGTGGGTGAGATCAATAACCCCTTGAAAATTTAAAAATTAACATATATTTTAGATTTTTTCTATTTATTTTTTATTAAAAAATTATTTTCGCGCTTCTAGAATTTTATAAGTTTACCCCAACATAAAATTTTACATCTGTTCCTGTCGTCAAAATCAATGATGTGACATATTAAATTATTAGATAATATCTCGTTTGACTCGTAAATTATATCTAAAATTTTATTTTGATAAATCCTAAACCCTAAAGATTTGTCATGATAGTTTCAATGAAAATACTAAAAATTTGATCCCTAACTAGTGTTGTTTTGTGGCATGTACAAAGCTTTTATAGATGTGGTGATACAAGCATAGGATATGTGAACCAATTTATTTTGGACAAAAAATTGAAGTTGTTTTTGAAGGCCGGAACGTTAGCTGACTTGAGACAAAATTTTTAATGAAAATTTAGGCAATTTTAGTTTGAGACGTCTTTTTAGTTATGTACCATCTTTCAATTACCTTTCTAATGTATCTTGAATCACCTCACTCGATCAGTCGAGAACTCAAGATATATTTGTTTTAACAAAGGCGACGCATGCAGAAAAATGGATATGAGTTCAAGAGAATTTTGATATATTACAAATTTTCAATTATTTTATTGGTTATTTATAATTAAATTATGTTATTTGTTTTGATTAATTTAGGATCTATTTATTATTTTAAGATTTATTTTCTTAGTTAGAGATAGATTTACTTTATTCTAAATCAAAATTGTTTTGTGTCTAAGTAAATACGTTATTTTTTTAATTATATTTAACATTAATATAAAAAATATCATTCTTTTAGAAAAACCTTAAAAATAGTCTAAAAATAGAAAAATTTAATATCTTTTACATTAACGCTGTATATACTTTAAAACAAAGTAATATTTTTATTTAGTCACAAAATACTTTTACTTTAAAATAAAACAAAATCTACTATTAATTAAGAAAATAATTTTAGCGGGTAGTGGGTGGGTGTGGATTTAGAAAGTGGTACCCGTCGCGGGTGGTGGGCGGGTAATGGGTTTGAGACATTACCCGCCCCGCATCCGCCCGCCCAACTAAATATCTATTAAATTTTGGACCATTATGAATTTAGGTGTAATTTTAGAGACTAATTTATAAATTCTAATATTGTATAAGATATAACATGTAATTTATCCAACTCTCCAACAAATAGCAAAGGATATTTTGGGCATTCTTGTCTCCACTGTCCCATCAAAATCTGCATTCAGTATAGGTGAAAGAGTAATTGGTCCTTATCGTAGTTGACTACTTCTAGAGACGATTGAAGCATTAATGTATGCTCAAAATTGGCTTTGGGCCAATATTAAAGGTAATATTATTATTTAGTTTATATTAGTTATCAAATTGTGCTTAATTATCTTATTAAAGTTTAGTTACTAACTTATATTAGTTTTACTTTCTATTATATATGTAGATAGTAGTTAATTTAAATTGGAGCGCTCTCAGTTGGAGGAAATAGAGAATGATGATTGTAATACTGGAGTATTATATGTCACAAATATTGCCTGAAATTTTAGAATATTGTGCCAAAGAACAAAAACATTATGTGTTTGTCATTTATGTTTCTAGACTTTAATTATGTCCTTTATTATGGTGTTTTATGTATTTTAAGATCTATATTAACACTTAACTTAGATAATCCTTGGATTATTTTATTATGTTTCTTAATAGACATGTTTTTTTATGTTTGTTGCTTATGTATAACTTAAGTTTGTTGTCAGGCGGGTCTAGACGGGTACGTCGCTAGTGGGTGTGGGGATGGATTTGAGAATATACCCGCGTGGGCGGGTGTGGATTTGAAAATTTGTACTCATCATGGGTGGTGGGCGGGTGGTGGATAGAAAAATATTAGGTGGGTATGGGGATGGGGGAGGGGGTATCCGCACCCGACCCGCCCGTTTGCCATCCCTAGTCTTATACAGAATCTAATTAAAAATAGGGTAAAGTATAGTAATGGTCACTAAACTTTTCTAAAGCTTTCATTTAGATCCCCAACTTTAAAAACTTGCAATACATTCTCCAACATTTAGTCTGTTTGGAATATCGTCCCCCAACATTTAGTCCGTTTGCAATATGGTCCCCGACGTAACTGTTGGGGGGCCATATTGCAAACAGAATAAATGTTGGAGGACTGTATTGTAAGTTTTAAAAGTTGGGGACCTACATGAAAACTTTAGAAAAGTTCAGTGACCATTACTATACCCTATAACATATTGGTTACTCAACGTTAAGAGTCGTTAACGTGGATGACAGAAAACTGAAATGGACCATGAACTGCTTATTTGACCCATTGACAGAAAAGCCAAATAATATGATACTTATACAAACAAAAATTGATACATGTACAATTTTGAAGCCCCTTAAAAAGAGTAACCTCCAAAAATAGTCAAAACATTTCCAATAATAAACCACACAAAAATGTATGCTTTTAATGCCCATTTCAATGCTCCAATAATCTCCTAAGCCTGCCAAGTTACCATGCAAAAAATGAATCAGCAAAAGTCAATGAAGAACCGATTGCTCATATTAGTAAGCTTGAGTGAGAGAAAAATGAATAAAATAAAAATAAAATGGGATTGGATTGGATTTTTATTTAAAGTTGAAGAGTTATCGGTCAACGAGTTAGGTAAGCGGTTAATGGTCTATCTCAACTTTCCATCACTCATGCTAACTGTTGTTAATGTCGAGTGACTAATTTGTTTTAATCGATGACGTTAATGATCAATTTGTTACAAATCGACGACGTTAGTGATCAATTTGTTACCAATTTGTTACTTTTAAAACTTTAGTGAGAAAAAAAAACTTAATATAGTTTACCCTTAAATTATACTCTTAAATGATCATTTTAATTATTAGTTTTTTAAAAAATTGTAAAATAATTATTAAAATTATTAACTTGTTATGAAACGATCATTACAATATTATAATAAATTATAAAAATTTAATAAATTTATTAATACATTACAATATTTTGATAAAATTTAATGATATATTTTAATAATTTGTTAAATTAATTTTTTAATTTTTTTTTAAAAATCAATAATTAAAATAATATTATTTTTTTTAATGAAAATCACTAATTTTATTCAAAATAGGAAATATCATATATTACAATAAAGATTTACAATCATAATTGTAAATTAAGCACATAATTAGTACAAATTCCTATAATAATTGAAATAAAACTAGTAATTTTAGATCACATAAGAACCATACAAGGAAATATTAAAACATAACCAAGAAAATTCGATCATAGATAGATACAAAAAGATCTGATAGCATTGGAAAATAAACTACTAAAGGGGATCAAGCAACTGAAAGACCACGACAAACTATAAATTAGACTCGAGCGATACGAAAAGCTATCTACGAACGCATAACGGGTATCTAAATCCAATTCTAGGGTCCAAAACAGGGAATATCAATAATATAACATATAAATGTCATATTGATCAGTTGTGGTGATGTCAAATCATCCCTTCGAAAAAGATAAGTGAAAATAACGGTCAAACGACCGAAAAACGTGTCAAAACATATAAGAAAACTTGTCATAAAGGCATATGAAAACGCATCATACTATCATACTTATTTAAAATAAATAAAAAATAAAAAAAGATGTAATAGAATACTGACGGTCGACAATCAATACTAAAATTGGTGTTGCTGTCGATCGACAAAGACAAAAAGAAAAAGGATGATGAGTTACCAATGAGAGAAAATTAATAATTAAAAATAATAACTTTATTATACTTCAATGATCTTTGTTACTCCTATATTTTACTCATATTTCATTTCTCTAAAGACTAAGACAAGCTATAAGTAATGTAGTTTTAAAATCATAAAGTCAATAAAACTCAAGAAAATGCGGGCCTGACGATGGCTACAAGAAGATGAGTTTCGTAGAAATTACCTTCAATATTAAAATTCAACTACAAACTTTTTTACATAAACTATTTAAAAAATCAAAATTAAATAAAAAGTGATCATTATTTTGAAATTTTGACCTCGATAATATTTATTACATCCGCAACACTAAAAGTGGCGAAAACTAGAGTGCTAACATAGGAGCAGCTATTGCTTTAAGAAGTTGAGGCATCAGTCTATAAAGAATGAAGCATAACTTGAATCCCATGTTGTGGTTGAAGCGTGATTACAGGGAATGGGGCATGAACATAGGCCGGAGAGAGACTAATGGTGTAGCGTCGGAGGATCATTGAGAGAGCAATCTTTGTTTCCGTAGTTGCGAAGCTCATACCGACACAAGATCGAGGTCCCATGGAAAAGGGAATGAATACAGCGGAGTTGTATTTGGTCGCGTTGGCGATACCTTCGGAGAATCTCTCGGGTTTGAAAAGATGTACATCGTCTCCCCATAGTTCAGGGTCATGGTGAAGTGTCAAGATTGGGATGAGTACCTCCATATTAGCAGGCAAAACCAGCTTCCCCAATCCAACTCCTTTCCCAACTTTTCGAATCACCGCAGCTACGGGAGGATACAATCTCAGGGTTTCATTCAGGATCATGTTCATCTGCCAACAAAATCAATTTCATACCCGAACATATTATTGGAATTGTAAGAGACTGCGAATTAATTTGCTTACAGTTTTCAGTTTGGAGATGCCTTGGTGATCGGGGTTTTGGTCACCAAAGACCTCAACCACCTCTTGTCTAGCTTTTTCTTGCCAATCAGTGTGGATTGCTAAAACCAGGACCGTCCATGCCAGCAAGGAATTAGTTGTTTCTTGACCAGCAAAGTAGAATGTTTTGCACTCATCCACCATATCGTCCACCGTAAGTCGGTTTTTCTCGTCAGAATCATGGTGAGCATTTACAAGTAATCCCAGAAAATCATCACCGAAATTATCGGATTCTCCGCTCACTACTTTCTCTTCCCTTCTCCTAACCATTTCCATCACACGGTCATGTATTCCTTTAGCAAGTTGCTCCGATTCTACTTGGTCCGTACTTTTCCGTATCTTGCTGCAGAAGAAAACAAAATTATCGATCGATTGCGGATATAGTCGATAAGAAAATCGAAATTCGATTACCTGATGACAGGAATCCTAGCATTGAAGTAATTTCTGCTAACGAGTACTGATAATTTCGTTAACTTTTCGAAGATCTTCTTCCCTTCCAAGTAATTACTTCCAAAAGCTGTTCTCGATATAACTTCCGCAGTCAACAACCTGAACTCCTCAAACACTTCTATTTCTTTCCCTTCTTGGCCTTTCCACTTCTCCAGCATCGCCTCCACGCTAGCGATCACCGCCGGATTCATGTTCTGCCACAAAAGAATTCAAGTATCAGTTTCCAAAACAATTGTGTTGTGTTTATTGTGATTGACGACGATTCGAAGTTTTACTTTTAAACTTTCACCGTGGAAAGCATGATTCGCTAACTTCCTTTGCCTTGCCCATTTCGCACCTTCGGATGACACGAGCCCGTCGCCGGTAATCTTGTACACGAAAGCTGAATCATCCTTCCTTTTTGGAAAAGTTCCGTCGTTGTTTATCAGTATTTCTTTGATTATTCCGGTGTCGGAAATCACCAGTTGAGCTTGGTTTCCCTCCCATGTGAGATAATTCTTCCCTAAATCAAAAAGTAAATGAACATTCAAATGAAAAATTATATATTATAACATGAAAAAGCATGTTAATGGTGATCACCGTAAGTGTTGATCCAGGCGTGAATCTGAGGAATAACTCTGGGAACAATATCATGTGTTAAAGCCATGGGTTTGCTCAGAGCTTCGTATCGGAAAAGGGTAGAGGCCTTGTTGTTTCCATGGAAGAATTCGTAGGGAGGTCCTTCGATTCCTTGTAAACTCAGTGCTTTCTGGATTTTGAGCGGCGTCCACCAGTATTTTTCAAGGAATTTCAACACAGTTATGAACAAAAATAAACTAAAACAAGTTGCGAGAAAGATTAAAAGGTTTGCTGTTGAATCCATTTCCGGCTCTTTAACTATGAATTCAACTGTTTATTCGAATCCATTATATATCATTGGAAGGCTGAAGATGATGACAAAAGCTTTAAAAGCTGGCTTTCGTCTTCCCCCGGATTTAGTGCTATCCAAGATTCGTCACATGATATATCGTATCTTCTAATAAATATATGATTTATTTATTACTCAACATAATTAGTCTTTTCGATTAAATAAAACGTACAATAATGAATTGATACAATAATTCTAAATCCATCTAGTTGTAAATTTTACATTTAAATATTAATCTTAACTTTGACAATTGCAAACTATAATTTTATATTTAAATAAGAAGGTTTAATATTTTATATTCAAATATATAAAATATTAAACCTTTTCTGAAAATAATAAGTAATTCAAGTTTATATTTTCCAACAATTATATTATTATTTTTGAATAGTCTAGATTGATTATAAAATAATATTTGTTCATAATATTTCTTAATCATTATAACACACACCCTAGACCCTACAAACACAATTGCATAAACCTAGGATTTTAAGATAAAACAACACTCTCTTTAACCGTCGAGATCACTCAATTGGTTCAACAATTATATTAATTTTTTAATCTTCGTAAAAATATGAGGATCAAATAAAAAAAATTCAATTTTATAAAATATCATGACGAAATTTACAATTAGACCGAAAAAATTAATACGTGAGTTTCTATTTTCCAATCATGCAGATATTCTATTTACAATTTCAGATAAATTTGAAGATTTGATTTGTCGGACAAGATAAGATAAACAAACATGATGTTAATTTGATTAGGAAACATTTTTATCAATAACGTTCAGGAATGAGTCAAGAGCAAAAAGTCGAACATAGAAACACATCACTAATACAATACACCGATGCACATTACTAATTAAACTGTCCGTATTAAAAAAAATATTTATCAAAAAATAATCTTTAATTTAATTTTAATTCTAATAAAAATATAATTAAATTTTATTTTTTATTAAGAATAATAATTAATTTAAGTTATAATTAAAATTGTTAACTTATATAATTTTAGAGTTCATCGCAAATTAACCCAACAACAATCAACAATCTATTGCCAACTACCAACGTTCATCATTGAAAAACTAGATTCAGTCAAACAACTGAAGTGAACCATGTTTGTAACAGTGATTGTTGAAGAAAATGATTTTCCGACCATAAACGATAATCGTCGGCAGTCTATTGCAGATGGTTGAATCTAAGATAAAATCTAAAATTATATAAGTTATCAATTTTAATTCTAAATCAAAAAATAAAATTAATTATTTTTAATTAAATAATAATAATTTAATTATGTTTTTATTATAATTAAAATTAAATTTTAATAAAGGATTAATTGTGGATGAGTCAGTATACTTTTTAATATTTCTTTAATAAGGACAGTTTAATTATTAATTTGCATTGGTGTGTCGCATTAGTGATATATTTCAGTGTGCGATATACACTCTAGAATTTTCCTAAGGTATAGTAATTAATGTTTGATTAATTATTTCAAAATTCATAATTTTCATCGAGGAACTCAATATTATCTTGCATTGTAATTGTCATTTAATCTAGAATCTTACTAATGGCATATTGCATAATCCAAACTCTGTTTACAAAAGAAATATAACTAATCAATACACAAAACTTAGAACAACAAAAGCATGCAAGAAAAACAGACATAAAATCCGAAATTCCTGGAAATTGCAGTACATCGCGAGTTTATGTAAGACAAACAATAAACAGCATTTGACACTTTGATTCTTAACGTTAATAGTTTAATATAATCTTTCTTGTCATCGTCGATACATGTCATGTTTTCTATTTAGTACTTGGCCTGTTGCAGCTAGTAGCATTATTGCATTGGATAAATCCACCGATATCCAAACGGAAATCATTTTTTTTAATGATTTCGTGGGGCAAATAAATCGGAATTTGATTTGAAACTATACAATTTTATTTTTTTGAAGCAGATAAACATGACGAAGACGTTATTCTCCGAGAATAACTCAAATAAAAAATACGAAATAAGATGGGCCGTTATCCTCCAAAGAGGAACTCAAAACATTAAACAGAAAATAGCATGGGGGATGTTATCTTCTGAAGAGGAACCTAAAACAGAAAACAGATTGAGGACGTTACTCTTCAAAGAGAAACCCAAATAGAATATATAGATTACACCAATCTAGGGATAAGCGTTCGATCGACTCAAGTCAAGTTAAAAAAATTCAAGTTATTTGAGTTGACGAGTCCTATTTTATAACTTAATTTTTTTTTCAAGTCTGAGTCGAGTTTTCGAGTTTCTATTTAAGTTTAATTATAAATATTTATAATATTATGATATTATTTGATTCTAATTTAAATGATTTTTTTATAACCATATACAATACATATATATCTCTTCACATTTTTTCATATGTGATATACATATATCACACAGAGTCGAGAGACTCGATGTAACACCCTTAACTCATATATGTCTCGATATACGAGTCAAAGATATCACATCAACTTAAAAATATTTACTAAACTGAAATGACATAAAAATTTGTTTCTATCGTAACCGGTTTTTGCCCGGGCACGAAAAATTTACTTGGCGGGAAAATAATGTGAATAAATAAATGATTTTGATTTTAAAAAATATTTTGGGAGTCACCATTGACATTTTTGGGTTAGGTAGGTCAAATACTTAAAAACAATCTTTTAAAATAGTTTTTAAGAAAACATAATTTAAAAGATAAACTGATCTGCGTATAACCAAAAAATTTTAATAAAAAGGATTTGTGGTCGGTTACGTTTAGGGAAGGATTAGCACCCCTATAACGCCCAAAATTGGTACTCATTAATTATAAATTGTCTCTATTATTGGAAATTTAAGAATTCAAAGATATATTTAATTTATAATCCTGTTATTTCAAATTTATTACTATATTTAAAAAATCTATTAATAAATAAGATATTTATTTATTTAGAAATATCAGAAAAGGGCTTCTAGGTACTTTAAGACAACTATTTTCTTAATATTTAAAAAAATAAATAAATATTAATAATATATTTCTATTAAAATAAATTAGTATAATTTATAAAAATTTATTTAAGAATATCAGAAAAGGACATCTAGGTGCTTTAAGACAACCTATTTCTTAATATTAAAAAATATAAATATTTAAAATATGATTATTATTATTTTTTTAAAAGTAAAAAAATGTAAAAATAGGATTTAAATAGAAAACAAATAAGATAAATAAATAAATATTATATATATATATGACTTAAGATAATACTAATAAAATAATAATAATTTAAACATATATAAAAAATAATAATAAAAAAATTATAAACTTAACTTAAATGAATAAAAAAAATCAAACTATTAGGGATTAAAATATAAAATTTAAAGATCCTAATTCGAATTATTCAAAAGATATGTCCTAATAATGTAATTTAGCCTTAATTAGTCATTTCGGGGTTTAAAATAAAAGTTATTAAAACTTAAAACTATAATTCGAAACATTAATATAATATAAACATTAATAATGCAATTTAACCATAACCCTAAACATATATATAAACATATATAATTAGTGGCGAAAATATAAAAAAATAAAATTGAAATACCAAATTAAAAGACATATAAGTTGATTTTAGTGACCATAATGTAAATTTATAGAACTTGAATGACTGCGAAAAGGGTTTTACCCTTATTAAATTACAGACATGCCCCTCCCCAAAACGACGTCGTTCGGGGAGGGTATTTAAATCCAAAAACCGGCCTCCTTGGGCCAGTTTATTTCATTTTCTGGTTTGGCTTCTCTCTCTAAAGAGAGAGAAGCTTTCGTCTTCTTTGGCCAAAAAGAAAACTGGCCACCGACCGGCAGCCATTTTCCGGCATCGACAAACGGTGGCCGGAATTTTACAAATTAACCCAAATCCTCTGTTTTTAAACTCTAAAGCCAAATCTAATACCCTTTTCTCCTAAAACCCTCCAATATTTCCTAGATCTAAGGAAAATACCTTCGGTATTTTCGGTTCGACGGCTGTTTGGAGGGCTCCGACGGACGTGGTAAGTTTCTCTCCCTTCTCTTTGTTTTTCTTTTTTGAATGGTTGTTTGTTGGTGTGGTATTTGGCTTGTTGTTTGGATCTTTCGCCTCTGTTCGTAGTGGTTTTCTACTCTCTGTTGCCCTGTCCTTTGCTCCCCTGGTTCTTGGCTGCTGTTGGATGTGTTCCTTGTTGTTGAGTCTCCTCGTTGTTGGTTGTTCCCTTCTGTTCTCTGTCTCTTTTCTCTCTTGCAGGATCTGGAGGCTTTTATAGCTACCACGACGTTCTGTTTGGACCGGTCCCGAGAGGGAAACCTCGGTGAGTTACCAAATCTAGGCTGGTGACTCACCGTAGGGATGATTGTGGGCTGCCATCTGGCGTTCTGGAGGCTTCAACTAGGCGTGGCAGTAGCAGCGGCGTCAACGTGGGGCGGCTGACCGTCGGCAATAGCTGGTTGGACCATCTGGCTTGGGAGGCGTCGGCAGAGGCGGCTGCTGGCCTTCTAGAAGCATCAGAGGCGGCTGGGAGCTAGGGTTTGAAAACTCTAGCTGAAATGTTACAAACCCTAAAGGGTTTGGGTTCTACTAGGCCGGTTGTAAATGTAATCGGGCCCTAATTTTGGGCCTTGTAATATTTATTTTTTATTTAATAATAATAATAATAATACTAATATTAATAATAATAATAATAAAACGAAATGAAAAAAATTAATGTTTACAGTTTCTTTTAAAAACACTCATATACTTTAAAAATCTATTTTTAAAGTATAGCTCAACCTATAATTTATTTCTTTGTTACAGGAAAATAAATTCATTTGTTAATCAGAAATTTTATTAAATCATGTCTTTTCGTGAAATCATTTAAAAACATAATAACGTAATATATTCTTTTCATGCATAGATACTGATAAAACTAAACTAAGTAAAATAAACTAAAATAGTTCTAGTTTACTATTACATATTATTTAAAATAAATACGATAAATA